GTTACTGACTTGAGAAACGATTCACTTAACAACTGTGGCAAGAAAAGTCGTACAATGGGGCAAAGAGCTCACTTCACCAACGTTTCACCGAGCCACATAAATTTGGGGCTCAACTGAAGTCGTAACTCGAGGACTACCTGTGTTATAAAACTCCCGTTGTGCAAGGACGCACTCAACTCTGCCATTCTTTCTGCCTCAAGCCGACTCTGAATCCTGCAGATGATCTGGAATTAAATTTTCAAGCCGTTTTTTTTTTTAACCCTGACATTCAAATTTGCTCCAAGGGTGTCATAAACTGGCCAATTTTATCTGGATTTGACCTTGAATATGCTGACTAAACACTTCAACAGAGTTCCCCAATGATTCGGGGTTGGTGGTCCGGAGCAGGAGGAGGGGGGGGTGAAAGAAGGATGGTTTTGTGGGGGGGGTAAAAGCATGCGCGTGAGTGCACACGAACACCCATTGCTCGGCTGAACGGGGCCGTGAGCCCTTGCACGAGTGGGGCCACCAACAGCCACAACGCTCGTGCGAACGAGGCCGCGAACACCCAGGGTGATGCTCGTGCGAGTGTGGTTGCACACCGCGTGCACTGGCTCGCCACTCACACATCCCAGTGGCCAAGCTGGTGGCCACAGGTTGAGGCTCTCTGCTCTGCAGGGCTTCTAAAGTGAGGTGGGCTGGGCACTGTATCCTGTTTCTGTCCCATTTCAGACATTCAGGCAAAAATTAATCTGCTTTCTTTTCCTGTTTGCAGAGTCTGGACCGGCTCAGATGCCTGGCAATTTTGGTAAGAGGCCCCATTTCAGAACACTGGAAGTTTTTAAGAAGAAACCGGACAGCCATTTGTCCGAAATGGTATAGGGTTTCCTGCCTGAGCAGGGGGTTGGACTAGATGACCTCCAAGGTCCCTTCCAACTTTATCATTATTATTATTATTATTATTATTATTATTATTATTATTATTATTATTATTATTATTATTATTATTATTATTATTATTATTATTATTATTATTATTATTATTAAAACTAGATGACCTCCAAGGTCCCTTCCAATTTTATTATTATTATTATTATTATTATTATTATTATTATTATTATTATTATTATTATCATCATCATCATCATCATCATCATCATCATCATCATCATCATTATTAAAACCTGAATTTCCCAGCAATTAGGAACTCAGACTGAATTGCCCTCCGTTTCTGCAAATGTCCATCATCTTTTACGATTAGGACAGGGGTCCCCAATCCATGGGCCGCGGCCTACTACAGCAGGCCGCAGGACAGACTGGACAGTGCGCACGTGCACATGTGCACGCACTCACCCCTACTCACACTAACACCCACGGACCCATTTGCACATGCATACCTGCACAAATGGGACCGCTTGCGCGCGGGGGTTTCCTCAGCCCATTTGCGCATGTGCACTGGGGCTAGCAGCCGCAGTGGCTAGCGCCTATGCACAAAAGGGCGACTAGCATGCGCATGTTACACAACCCACTTGGGCATGCGCACGGGGGTAGCAGCGGCGGCAACTAGCACCTGCTCACATGCACAAACGGGGATGGCTAGCCCCATGTGGGTTTCATGGCCCGTTTGCGCATGTGCATGGGGCTAGCGCCTGCACACCTACGCAAATGGGTCCACTAGCGCCGTGTGCGTGCGCTCTGCCCTGTTTCTGCACTTGTGCGTGCATGTACGCACATTTCTCAGCTCCCTTTCCCTCCAGGCCGCCAGCCTGAAAAGGTTGGTGACCTCTGGATTAGGGGATTCCGCTCAAATGCCACTTCCCTAATCTCCGTTAACCGGAAGTCCTCAACTTACGACCACAATCAGGACTGGAGTTTCCGTCGCTAAGCAACACAGCTGCTACGAAGTGAGTCGTGCCCCATTTTGCGACCTATTTTTGCCACCATTATTCAGCCGATCGCTGGAGTTGGCTTGTCGGAAAGAGGCTAGGAAGGGGTTCACATGACCCCAGGATGCTGCTGCCACCCTCATAAATGCAGGCCGCTTGCCAAGCGCCTGAAATTTTGATCACGTGACCGTAGGGGATATTGCAACGGTCGTAAGTGTGAGGACCAGTCGCATAAGTTCTGTTGTAACCTCGAACAGTCAATGAGTGGTTCTAAGTTGAGCCCTATCCATACTCAGAGCCTCGTCCTCTCAGATGCAGATGGTCCTCGACTTACGGCCACAACGGAGCCCCAAATTTCCGTTGCTAAGCGATACATTTGTCAAGTTTCTGCCTCATTTTACAACTTTCCTTGCCACCGCCGTTAAATGAATCATCGTAGTGAAGTTAGTGGCACAGTTGTTAATTGAATCTGGCTTCCCCAATGGACTTTGCTGGTCAGAAGGTCGCAAAAGGGGATCGCGGGACCCTCCCGGGGACTCTGCAACCGTCATAAATACAAATCAGCATCTGAATTTTGACCCCACGACCGCAGGGAGCAAGCTGCAAAGGTCATAAAGGTGAAAAATGCTCAGAAGTCCCCTTTTTTTCAGGGCTGTTGTAACTTCGAACGGTCACTAAATGATCTGTTGTAAGTCGAGGACTACCTGTTCTGTCATAGTGCAGCAGAATATTTTAATATCTCCTCACCAACCCGAAGGAAACTAGTTTTTTTCTTCTTCCGGGTTACAAAGAAAAGCTAAATGACTACCCCATTATTCCTAAAACCCAATTATGTTGGCCCCGCCTTCCTCTGCTAATTTAGCTTCCGCCCATTAAAACTAATTTACTTTTGGCCGCCTTATCACAAAGTCTTCATGTGCTTCATTGCTCAGACCAATGTTTCTAAACCGTGAGGTGTGGACTTCAACTCCCAGAGTTCCCCAGCCAGCCATGCTGGCTGCGGAATTCTGGGAATTGAAGTTCACACCTCAGAAATTTGGGGGGGAAAAAATCCCCACTGGGAATTCTGGGAGTTGAAGTCCACACCTCAGAAATTTGAAAAACCACTGGGAATTCTGGGAGTTGAAATCCACACCTCAGAATTTTGAAAAAAAAACCACTGGGAATTCTGGGAATTGAAGTCCACACCTCAGAAATTTGGGGAAAAAACACTGGGAATTCTGGGAGTTGAAGTCCACACCTCAGAAATTTGAAAAAACACTGACTTAATCAGTCTAATTGCCTTCATTCTTTGAATATAACAGCAGGAAGTGGGGAAAGAAATGAAATTATGTCACTTCTGGACTGTTTATAATTCTGACTCATCGATTCAGGTGGCTGGCTACTCCTCAGTGTGAGCCATTTTAATCTCCGTGGAGATTCTCCGTCTTCCAGGTCATAGTTATCCCAAAGGTGCTTTTTTTTTTTCCCTCAGGAGGCAACTGGACTTTTTTGTTTTTCTTTGAAGACGTTTCGCTTCTCATCCCAGAAGCTTCTTCAGCTCTGACTGGATGGCGGGAAATGGAAGGATTTATACTCCTTGCAGACAGCTGGTCATTTGCCTTCTTTTAGAGAGTCGTTGAGGCTACTTAGAGGTTTACCTGTGTCCATCATTCACCTGAGTGGTGCAAATGGGTGTAGAGCAGGGGTAGTCAACCTTGGCTCTTTTATGACTCGTGGACTTCAACTCCCAGAATTCCTGAGCCAGCATGGCTCAGCATGGAAACCTCTCCCTTTCCCCTCAGCATGGCTGGCTCAGGAATTCTGGGAGTTGAAGTCCACGCGTCATAAAAGAGCCAAGGTTGACTATCCCTGGTGTAGAGCCTTCTTGGGACTGCTGAAAGGACCGTGTTGTAGACTGGAGATGGATGGTGTCCTATCTCTTCCCCTCTGTTGAGGGAGGGCTGTTCAATTTGGACCTAGATGGCCTCTTTGACCCCTCTTTCAAGCCAGCGGTCCTCCCTGTCGAAAATGTGGACTTTGCTGTCTTCGAAAGAGCGGCCTTCATCTCTTAAATGCAGATGGACTGCTGAATCTTGTCCTGATGGGTTTGTTCTATGTTGGATAGAGAGGACCACTGGCTTGAAAGAGGGGTCAAAAAGGCCATCTATATCAACAGAGGGGGAGGGATCCGACATTGTGTATCCTGTCTACAACACGGTCCTTTCAGCAGGTCCAAGAAGGCTCCACACCCATTTGCACCACTCAGGTGAGCCTGAAGACACAGACAAATCTCCAGGTGGCCTCAACGACTCTCCAAAAGGAGGCAAATGACCAGCTGTCTGCAAGGAGTATAAATCCTTCCATTCCCCACCATCCAGTCAGAGCTGAAGAAGCTTCTGGGATGAGAAGCGAAACGTCTTCAAAGAAAAACAAGAAAGTCCAGTTGCCTCCAGAAAAAGCACCTTTGGGATTCATTTTCATGCATTGAATGTGGTTCTGGATTTTCACAGGAACTTCCTACAGAGTTTCAACCACTTGATTGCCATCTGCTCCCTTCCCTGATGATTTATCTAGAAAATTGGGGGTTTCCATTGGTGGCGCTTTATGACCGTATCACTTAGTGACAGAAATTTTGGTCCAAATTGCCAACACACGCCAAGAACTTAACAGCTGTTCGTTTAGTGACGGTTCGAAATTAGAAAGGCACCGTAAAAGGCAACTTATGACCACTATTCCCATTTGTGGCCGTTAACAGTATCCCCACGGTCACATGATCAAAATTCAGACATGTTGGCAATCGGTTTATATTTATGACAGTCGCAGTGCCCCAAGGTCATGTGATCCCCTTTCGCGACCTTCTTACAAGCAAAGTCAAGGGGGAAGACCAGATTCACTTAACAACCACGTGACTAACTTAACAGTGGCAAGAAAGGTCATAAAATGGGGTAAGATTCACTTAACAACCGTGTGACTAACTTAACAGTGGCAAGAAAGGTCGTAAAATGGGGTGTCACTTAACAACTATCTTGCTCAGCAACATAAATTTTCAGCTCAATTGTAGTTGTAAGTTGAGGATCACCTGTATAAACAGCCCTGCAAGACCAACCCAGGTTTGAGCTCATAGAAGCATCACCTTGTGGTTCCCTTTTCCAGCTGCAGCACCAGGATATTCCCCACAGAGAGGTACCAGGAACCATGCCTTGCTCGAGGCCGCCGGACCCAGCCACGTGGCTATCAACGCCATCTCGGCCAACATGGAGTCCTGCAGCAGTCGCACGGCAGCCCTTAAGAAGCAGCCCAGCCACATGGAAGCTGCACATTTTGGAGACCTGGGTGAGTCTGGTCCCTTTTTTCTGGTTTAGCTGAGTCCAAAGAGCTCGTGAGCATGTTTAGAGGCCTAAAATATCCTAATGGGTACCTGATGGATTGATTGATTGAGCCAAATGGTCAAGTGATCAAGGCACCAGACTAGAAGCTAGGAGACAGTGAGTTCTAGTCCCAGGTTAGTCATGAAATCCAGCTGGGTGACTTTGGGCCAATCACCAGGAGACAGTGAGTTCCAGTCCTGCCTTAGGCATGCTAGCCGCCTGGGTGACTTTGGGCCAATCACCAGGAGACGGTGAGTTCTAGTCCCGTCTTAGGCTTGAAAGCCAGCTGGGTGACTTTGGGCCAATCGCCAGGAGACGGTGAGTTCTAGTCCTGCCTTAGGCATGCTAGCCGGCTGGGTGACTTTGGGCCAATCGCCAGGAGACGGTGAGTTCTAGTCCCGCCTTAGGCATGAAAGCCAGCTGGGTGACTTTGGGCCAATCGCCTGGAGACAGTGAGTTCTAGTCCCGTTTTAGTCCTGAAAGGTGCCTGGGTGACTTTGGGCCAATCATTAGGCGATTGTGACTTCTAGTCCCAGTTTAGGCATGAATGCCAGGTGTGTAACTTTTGGTCAACCGTTTTACCACCTTTATGACTTAACCACCGTAATAGGAAGCTTCCATAACCCGAGGACAACCTGTATGCGAATTAGTTAAAAAAATATGCACATCAGATTGTCCCTGACAAAGATACCCTCCCCGGCCTTTGCTTAAATCAACTCAAGGCAGATGTGCCTTGTGAGAAGTGCTGGGGCTGGTTCGGCGCGTCCGTCGGAACCTTGGCGGGATCCCCCTCCTCACCTCCTCTCCCTTCTCCTTCCTCTAGGCCGCTCCTGCCTGGATTACCAAGCTCAAGAAAGCAAGTCAAGCCTGTCTAAGACGCTGGCGCAAGTCCTGCGCGACCCCGTGGCCCTCCCGTACTTCGCCCAGTACATGGAGCTCCACCGCATGGAACACCTGGTCCGATTCTGGCTGGAAGCCGAGACTTTCCGCTCCGCCACCTGGTTCCGCATCCGAGCGCACAGCTTGAACACGGTGAAGCACAGCTCCCTGGCCGAGCCGGTCTCCCCTTGCCTGCAGCAGCAGGACCCTCCCGGCTTTTCCCCCCTCGGCGAGTCGCTTAATGGAGGACTGGATGACCGTTACCCCGCCGAGCCCTCTCCGGCATGTTTGAGCCGGCCAACGTTGACTCTTCGGAACCATTTGCTGCTTGGCCAAGGCGGGGAGAACCCCCATTTGGGGTTGACTCCGTCAGAAGACGAGGACTGTCCTGTTCCGGGTGACTCTCACGATGCTTCCACGGTTTCGGCGTCCAGTAGAAATAGTCCTTTGTTTGCACTAAGGGACATGTCAGGAAGACTCATGAAAAGTAAGCCGTCCATGGTCTTTCTAAGTGGTTTCCAGCGACGTCCTCATTTAAGGACCTACAGGCAGTCCTCAACTTACGACTGCAACTGAGCCCAAAATTTCTGTTGTTCAGTGAAATATTTGTTAGGGCGGCTTGCCCCCTTTTACGTCCTTTCTTGCCTCGGTTGTTAAGGGAATGGCCGCAGTTGTTAAAATTAGTCAGACTCTTGTTTAAGTGAATCTGGCCTTCCCCAGGGATTTTGCTCGTCAAAAGGTCGCAAAAGGGGATTCACGCGATCCCAGGACACTGCGACCGTCATAAATACGAGTCGATCGCCAAGTGTCTGGATTTTGATCGCACAACCACAGGGATGCTGCAACGGTCCTAAGTGTGAAAAACAGTGATAAACCACTTTTTTTTTCAGGGCCGTTGTAACTTCGAACAGTCACTAAGTGGATACCTGACTTACAACAGTTCATTTTGCGTGAGGGCAGGCTCTTTATGCAGAAAACAGGCTGTCCAATTTAATAATAATATAACAACAACAACAACAAAACAACAACAACAACAAACAACAACAACAACAACAATAATAATAATAATAATAATAATAATAATGTTGGAAGGGACCTTGGAGGTCATCTAGTCCAACCCCCTGCTCAGGCAGGAAACCCTACACCATTTCAAACAAATGGCTGTCCAGTCTCTTCTTAAAAACTTCCAGTGTTGGAGCATTCACCGCTTCTGGAGGCAGGCTGTTCCACTGGTTAATTGTTCTAACTGTCAGGAAATTTCTTCTTAGTTCCAGGTTGCTTCTCTCCCGGATTAGTTTCCACCCGTTGCGTCTTGTCCTGCCTTCAGGCGCTTTGGAGAATAGCTTGACTCCCTCTTCTTTGGGGCAGCCCCTGAGATATTGGAACCCTGCTATCATGTTCCCCCTCGTCCTTCTCTTCATTAAACTAGACATACCCAATTCCAGCAACCGTTCCTTATATGTTTTAGCCTCCAGCCCCCTGATCATCTTTGTTGCTCTTCTCTGTACTCTGTATTTCCTTAGTTTCACTGTGTAGAAATGGTGGAGAGCACCGCAGCCTTCCAACTATACTTAAACTACAACTCCCAGGGGTCCTTTCCAAAATGGGTGGTGATGCTTTGATGCTGGAAGGATAGAGGTTCCATCTGCCTGCCATGGAACGAAGAGAGTAGGTCTGCCCCCCCCCAGGCCAATTACAGATGCTCCTCAGTTTGCAGTCATTGTTGGAACCCGCGACTAAGGTCACTAAGCAAAGCAGTCGATAAGTGGGCTTTTCTTTCCCCCACTCTCCCACCCTACGTATGTTCATTCCGGCTCTGGGATAATTAGCAAAAAGGGAATTAAAGCTTATAGTTACAGACTTTGGAGAGGAAGGGATTTCAAGAGAGTAAGCAGGTACACACACACACAATGGAGAGTACATCAGGCTTGTTGTGTCCCTGTATTACTTTTGATATCTGTTCACCATTGGGTGCTTGCTTACTCTCTTGTGATCCCTTCCTCTCCAATTTCCATTCTGCGATGGGTGGGGAAAAAACAGTGGGTCACCACGATGTAAAAAAGATGTTGAGACTCTAGAAAGAGTGCAGAGAAGAGCAACAAAGAGGATCAGGGGACTGGAGGCTAAAGCATATAAGGAACAGCTGCTGGAATTGGATATGTCTAGTCTAATGAAGAGAAGGACGAGGGGGGACATGATAGCAGTCTTCCAATATCTCAGGGGCTGCCCCAAAGAAGAGGGAGTCAAGCTATTCTCCAAAGCGCCTGAAGGCAGGACAGGAAGCAACGGGTGGAAACTGACCAAGGAGAGAAGCAACCTAGAACTAAGGAGAAACTTCCTGACAGTTAGAACAATTAACCAGTGGAACAACCTGCCTCCAGAAGCGGTGAATGCTCCAACACTGGAAGTTTTTAAGAAGAGACTGGATAGGCATTTGTCTGAAATGGTATAGGGTTTCCTGCCTGAGCAGGGGGTTGGACTAGATGACCTCCAAGGTCCCTTCCAACTTTATTATTATAGTCCTGGATTTAACAGTTCATTTAGTGACTGTTGAAAGTTAACCACGGCACTGAAAAAAAGTGACTTAACCGTTTTTCACACTTAACGACCGTTGCAGCATCCCCATGATCGCACAACCAAAATTCAGACGCTTGGGAACTGGTTCACATTTATGACGGTCGCAATGTCCTGGGGGGGGGTCACGTGATCCCCTTTCGCAACCGTTTTCAGCATCGTAACTTTGAACGGTCGCTGAATGAGTCAGTCGGTAAGCGAGGACCACCTGTTTGGTCTAACGGGGAGGGGAAGAAAACGCAGGCGAGATGGGCCATTCGCTGGGATACAGGTAGTCCTCGACTTACGACCAGTTGCTTAGTGGCCGTTGAAAGTTACGACAAACCCCGAAAATCGGACTTTTGTGCCCGGTTTCGAAGTTGCAACATCCCCATTCACACACCCCACCCCTTGCGATCAATGTGACCGTATTGCAATCAGCCTACATTTACGACCGCTTGTAGCATCCCGCAGTCACATGTCTGCAATTTACCACGAGTTTACTTCTGACGAAACAATGAGCTGTCTTTAACAACCACGGCATTCACTTAACGGCCACTGGGGCAGGGAAACAGCCATTAAAATCAGACTGGATCGTATGATAATTGATTTTTACCACCGTCGTGATTTTGTGCGCTGAATGATGGGGCGTAATTTTGGGCACTACCATCGTGGGCTTAATTGAGACTCGTAACTCGAGGACCGCCTGTCACAGTTGGAGGGGGAGGAAGACCCCTGGTTTAAAAAGCAACGAGGGACTTATTGCCAGCCACAAAGGAAATTTGCTGTTTCACCAAGAAAAGTCCCCGTTCAGTTTTCGTCTTGGGTGGAATTGTGAAAGTCTCGACTTCCTTCTCGAAAAAAACCCAAACAAACCTCCGGTTATTGCGGAAGTTTTTGCAAAACGGGGAACCGGTTTTTTCCCCAAACTCACTGCAACCTCAGAGGCACTCCACAAGATAAGATAAGATAAGATGTAAGAGATATAAGATAAGATGTAAGATAAGATATAAAATATTTATTTATTATTTATTTATTAAATTTATATACCGCCCTATCTCCCTTGCGGGACTCAGGGCGGTGAACAGGCGATACTAAAAACCACGAATAAATAAATAGTTAAAATCGAATTGAATAATAGGCCTGTTCTAAAAACACACCCATACAAAACCCCCCCACTGAAACACAATCCAAACTACGCCAGGCCGGCCGCACGGAATAGATGGGCCTTCAGGGCTCGGCGAAAAAGGCGCAGGTCCGCAGTTGTACGTAGGTCGGGGGGTAGGTCATTCCAGAGGGCAGGAGCTGCCACAGAGAA